GAAGTTTTCCGCTTGCCTCCAGGCGAGTTTCAGGAAGGACGCCGGCTTCCGCCGCGTCCCCGAGGTCTCCGCCTCGCTGTCGCTGTCGTACATGTCGCCAGCGCGCACGGAGCCCTGCGCTCGGAGCTTCGGGATCAGCACCGGGCTCCACAAGAAGGCGCTGTCTCCTGAGCTGCTCTTGGGGAGCTTGGGCTCAAACTTTTTTTTTAAAACGAGGGAGTGATTGCGGGGTTTATTCTGGTTTTTTGAGAATTTTGTGTGAGCAAACCATTGGGCTTTTTTCAGGGAGTGATTGCGGGATTTATTCTGGTTTATTGAGAACCCTCTGTGAGCTGGAGATCAATGCAGACTTGGAACTTCGGGGGCTCTCGAATGACTTGGGGAAGTAAACTCATCGGTTGCAGTTTAGAGCGCCAGAGTTGGGATTTTGCAAAGTTGGCAGACCTGAACAACGGTATGTAGAATTAGGTCACCTCGTCCTCACTTCCTGAGTGGGGACCGGCGACAAAAAGTCCAAACTGTTTGTTTACCGGCTGAAATGACCTTCCCAAGAAGCTTGAAGTCCATGCACTCAGGAAGTGAGTCTCTTACTCACTAGCATCTGCCTGCCCTGGGTATTCCACTCGCTCGCAACACGCCTGGTAGGCTGCGCTCGGACGCAGACAGCACCAAGCGGAAGGGCGAGCGCGAGCGCTCGCTCTTCGCGCTCCTGGGGCTTCGCTTGGCACTCCCAAGGCGCGGGTTGCGGAGATTCATGTGGGCGTGGGCCAAAATTAGGTACCCAAACTGGAGAGTGAAAGGAAACAAGGAGAAAAAAAATCCTGCGGCCCTCTGGTGCTGTAAGTTTGACCCAGACCCATGTGTTCCAAAAGGGGGGGTTTGGAGGATCGATCCCCAGCTCTCAGAAATGCCTTGGGGACACGAGGACTCGGATGACTGACCCGAACTCCGAAAAGTGCGTTGATCATCCTTGCTGCTTATAGAGCAAGGGGTGTGGCGCCCCAGAAGCTAGAGAATAGATCTTCGCCTCCCATTGACATGGAACTAATGGTTGCGATGACTTGTCTACTTATCAAGCAAAAGCATCAACGGTCTCAACGTCCTGCTCAAAGGGCAGCCGGCTTCAGACGCTGCAGCAAGGGGTTGCCTGAATCCACAGTTTTGGCAAATTCTGGGTCTGCCCTTCTAAAAAAAACATTGGTGGCTATGAAGCTAATTGTGCCAACCAACCTGCCCTTCTTGGAAACAAATAGCACCACCTTTCGGCGCTTCAATTTTTTTCGGGGGCTGAAGGAAAGCCAGGAAACGCAGGGGCCCTGCCGCGCGCCTCAAGGTCTGCAGCAGCGGCGACGCCGCCGGCTCTGGCGAGCACCGGGGCGACGCCTCCGGGCGGCTCGCCGGGCGGCTCGCAGGGCTAGCGGCATCGAGGCACGCGCTCGGTGCCTGGAGGCAAAGCCCCTGGGCTGAAGCCCCAGAAGAATGGCAAGGCCCCAATCTGGACGATGAAATCCAAAGTGTAAACAATGGTAACAATGGTCCTACTTTCGCCGCCTTTGTTTTAATGGTGGTTACTGAACTGCAGGGACAAGGGCCCGCGCCCTGTGGCAGTGGGGAAAAAGGTAGCAAAAGCACGTGTCTTTTGCAGGAGCCCACCAAACATGAATAGAACCAAACAACAACAACAAAGAAAACGCGACAGGGACAGTAAAGAAAGGGAAGCTTGGTTGGGGTTGCCCATTCTATGTGGACATGCAAACGCGCACACAGGGAAGGGAGGGAGGGAGAGAGAGAAAGAAAGACATAACACAGCAAAAGCGCACACACACAGGACATCACACATTTACAAACAAACACCCCCCCCATCGCCGCCGCCAGCAGCACCACCACCACAAAAACAAATTAAGCAAACAACCACAAAAAAGCACGCAAACAACCCCACCACCGCCACCGCCACCGCCACCACCACCGCCACCACCCCTTCTGCCACCGCCACCACCACCGCCACCGCCACCCACACCAACACCAACACTAAAATAAAAATGGACCAGATGATCGAGCATGTTGTCATTATGCAATGCCACTTGGAGAGGGATGCCCCCCCCCAAAAAAACAACAGAAATAACACAGCGCAACTCTTCCAAAGGGCATCCCGAGAAAACGCACCAAAGATCCAGAAATCCTGCTTATTGATATCGAGGCTGACCAGGTTGAGCGCAACACATATCCTTTTTCCCAGACCGCCGGGCCCCAATACTATTGGATCAGGCCAAGTCCAAACCAGGCTGATTGCTTGCCCAACCCGACCAAAAACCTCATGGGGGGGGTACTTCAGCACCCAAGGCCCCAGCAAACCAACCCCACAATGACCAGTACTACAGCCAAATGACGTAAAGCAACAATTTTGGCGGGCTTGCCAACAAGGGGCAAACAAAGGGTGCCCTCCCTGGTGCTGCCCATGCCTTTCTTGCCTGGCATGCCTCCCTCAAAGTGCCTTTCGTTCCCCGTACTGTTTAATCTGTTCAGACCAAAACCAGTCAAAAACACAGCGCTTCTCCCTTTCAAAGTTTTAAGTGCACTTGCTTCTGGAGCCCGTCTGACCCCTAAGTACCTTACTAAAGTATCCGCTTCGGTCCCCAGGTTGCTTTTTAAACAAATTGGAAACTGGTCGCATCCTGAAGCTTCCACTTGCCTGCTCCCCCTGGAACAACTAGAGAAATATGTCCAGTGAAATCGAGTCCCTTTAACATCAACCAGGCTAGGTCCTCCAGATGTGAGAGGTTAGAATAAGGGTACCCGATATTTTTGCTGTAGTCTATTTTAGTAGGGGACACCTCCCCCAAAAAAGGGTAAAAGGGCAATACTGGGGGGACCTAGCAGGGAACACAAAAACGCAACTCATATTTCATCATATCTCAGCAAATGGAAGGAGATAGAAGCGGTTCGTGCCAAAACCGGCACCCTTTCTCCATCCCTCCCGGCTCGATGCCTCCACCGCGCAGCTTCGCGCGCAGCCCATGGCCTGACATCCAAGGGACAAAAGCAACCAGAGGCCCAGCCGGGGTTCCATGGCGGTTGCTTTGGCACAAGCATGCATAAACCGCCCAAAGTCCATATGGATTTTATGGGGTTGGTTTGGCCAGAAACCTCAATGAAGCGCCCACAGAAGAGTTTTGTCTCCTAAAAAAAAAGGAACGCAGGCACCAAAGCTAGGCAAGCTATGGATTTGATCCATCAAACCGATCCGATCTGGCGGCCTACGTGTGCGCTCAGTGTGCGCTGTGTGCGCTCAGGGCACTGTGGTTGCTGGCGGTGCTTCGTTGGCAATGCAGGCAGGGTCCACCTGGCCTTTTGGAGGATCAACTTGGAATTGGTGGCAACAATTTAAGTCCTTGACAGGTGGGAAATTCAAAGGTCAGGGTTCTGGTTTGGGTGCTGGTGTGAGTCGTTGTCGTTGCTGGTCAGTGCTTGCCGCTGCGGCTATCCGAGGTTTATGCCGGTGGCAAAGTCTAGCTCATGAAGGAAAGCCCCTCAGAAATGAAAGTGGAAAGGGCACCACCCGAGGTCTAAGCTCATGGAAAATGATGGGAGGGTGTTTGTTTGTCCTGGTCCTTTGGGGCAGTTGATTTTCGTCAATGTTGAACGCGGATCTAAGTAGAACACGGTCCTATCACGGCCCTATTCACAAGGGGGTGTTTCCTCCAATAGTGATAAACCTCTTTTCAAGGGCCACCCCTCTCATCAGATTATCTAGCCGGTCCGATTACAGCCGGACGCTTTTGGGCCGTACTGGGAACCCAATCAACCAACCACCGGTTGATTCGTAGGAAAGTATTCCATTTTAATCGAAGGCAGGACCACTTGTGAAAGCTCCAGGTTGAGTACTTGAACGTCGACTTTGCGTCAAGCAAGGAAAACATCACTTGGGCCTCTTCTTAGGCCATGTTGCGCTGATCCACTAGATCGCCGCGGAGAAAAAACCAGTCCAGTCTCCAAACATCTTAAAATCAATGCGACTTTCAGCCCCCTGGCCGAAACACCCTTGCGGAAACGCAGGAAACTGTGTCGGCCAAAAAACTTGGACCGCTTGCACGAGGTCTTGTGGAAATCTGGATTTCCGGTATGGCAGCCGAATAGCATGCAAGGCTTCCCGGTCGCTCCTGCAACCTTGGGCCCTCGAGAAATGGTCGGCAGCAAAATTGCTCTCAGGGTCTCTGACTACAGGCCCACATCGGAGGAAGCAGTTTCCCTGGAAAGAGCCACCGAATCACAAACCACAAAACTGAGCTGTCCTCAGATCCCCTGCTAGAAGTTTAACCTTTGGTCGTTTAGTGGAGGCTCCCACAAAACCAACTAAGAACCTAAAACCTAAGGACTCCCCGCAATTCCCGGGGACCGCCAAGCGCGCAAGCCGGTGAATCCTTCTGGCCCCGAGCCTTGCGCAGCCCGCGGCATGGGCTTCAAAAGCGGATGGGGTTCTTGAGCGCGGATCCACATGCGGCACGTGGCGCTTCAGGTCGCCGGATTGCCCCTTAAGGGCGCGCCGGGCCAGTTCAACCCCTGGGTGATTCATAGGGGGTGACCCTGTTTTGGTGGGGAATCATCAGTTTTGGAGGTGAGCCCCCCCCCCCCCAAAAAAATAGACCGGTTTATTCATCCGGGGCCAACATTAGGTTTCAACCTGGCCGGTGGGTTCCATTGAAACTGACACTTTTGGAGGTCCAGCAAAGAGAAATTGAAACTGAACCCTGCATTCCCCCCTCCCCCAAGCTTGAGGCATCAAAGCAAGGTAGGAAAGACTTCCAGCGAAATTCAGCGAAATTCCAGGGATGCCCCCCGGGCCCCAAATCCAGCTCCTTCTTTTTGGACAGGTTTTATCTCGCGCAATGGGCCAGTTTGAGCCTTGGCTTTTTTCCCGTTGTGGACACCCGCAGCAGAAGGGCCAGGTAAGCTGTGAACAACTTCCATACAGCCGACCCCAGATCAAACATGGCGGACTCGTAGGAGGGTGCATGAGGGTGCAGCTTCCCTGAAAAGTAAGCAATCCCGTGGAAAATGGGACACGCTGCTGCATCACATGTTACATCTGACAACCTCCCACAATTGGATTGTCTAACGAAACTCGGACCCTCCATGTATGGAAGTCTTCAGGATTAAACAAAAAACTGTTTCCACTTGTCATAGGTTCCCTTTACACCGACAGGGGAAAACCAACATGTTCTTAGGCAACTGGCAGCGACACCTCCTAAGTCGCGGTTGGACCCCGAATCAAAGGAAGGATCCCTGGACTGGATGGCCCAAACAAGCGCGGAGCATCAAACACAGATTCTTAAGCAGATGGAAGAAACTTGGAACTCGCTTTTGCCGCCAGCCTGGCCTTCCCAGGTGGAAACTTCAGGAACTCAGGGCGTGAGACTTGACCAGGGAATTCCGAGCCCCTGCTCCCCCCCCAAAAAAAAGAAGAAGAAGAAGCAACTGTTTGCTTCTGAAAGGTAGCGCCGAGGAAAAACCAAAAGCGCATGAGCTAAGTCTGGCAATGGGCATACGAACTTTGAGGAAGGCACGTTGAGAGAAAAAGACGCTGTGCTCCGGAACCTTTTCTAGAAGAAACCTTCCCTGTGTGTGGCCCGCTCCTGTGTAAAGGGCGAAAAAGGTGCCACTGTTTCAATTACCGATGAATTGTCCACTCTGCACAGTGCGCGCTGCAACTACTCCATGGGTTGTTCTCTGATAGCAACGAGCTGCAGCGGCCTATTGGGATACGCGTGCGCGCCCTGCAAACATATTCCGCGTCAACAGCCTGAATTGGGCCAAGGCACGGTGAACAAAGCGGTTGGGCACGTCACATCATGTGATCCTTTGCGTGTCACATCCAATCTTTTTTCATTCAGACGATGCAGTCAGGCCCTGCCACTGTACACATCCCAGGGAAGCATGCACAAGTCCTGTGAAACGCAACTGGCAGGCATGCATGGCGTGAAGCCGCATTCCGGTGCACTCCGGCTGATCTCTGGCGTCTTGATTGCCTCATGACTCATACCCAAAAAAGCTCATCTTCCCCAGATTTCAACTGGAAATCGCCCAAACTCAACCTCCCAGGTGATCCAATCAAAAATCACGGGGAACCGGTTGTGCCTTCTTGATGTCGAACGGCAAAAGCAAGCCGTGCCAAGCAACAAGACACTTCCGCACTTGAGTCACAAGCAAAACCCGGCACAAGAATAGTGCACCCAGAACCATGTCATGTAAATAATTAAGAAGGCGGCCGCAACTATTTCTGGCTGGGACTGCCCCCACATCTAACCTTCATCTACCCGGGTTGTGATCCTTGGCGAAGCAGCCGAACATTCTGGGGGCAGATGCCCACCCGTCACACTGGCGTGCGGGTGCGCGCCAGTGGGCACCACTTCCAACCGCCTCTTCGAATATGTCGCCTTTCCCCAAAACGTTCCTGACGGGATCCATGTCGAACGCCAGCCAATTTAAGGGACAAGGTTTGGCCGATTTTCGTCTAGGTCTCTGGAGTCCATGCGCCCTTGGCCTTCGCTCCCCAAAACCGGCCCCAACTTGTGTGGGGCCCGACCTCAGCGATCCCACAGCTCGCCTCCCAAACGCTCGGAGTGCGAAAGGGGCCATGGCCTGGGGCGCAATGAACTTTGAACACATTCGCAGTGTTTGGAGGGAAGCAATGTAATTGTCCACCCTTAGAAGTTGTTCATCTTTCAGAGGTTCATCTTTCAGAGGCTCTGGGCAATCCTGACTTGCCTTCACACGTTTCCCGTCAAAGGGAGTGATGATGCTGTGTAGCTGTGCCACGGTTACAAAGTGGATGCCGCAATTCCTTGTTTGTGGGTAAGAGGGGGTGACTACACCAAAATAAGCCCTGAAACGTCAGGCTCCATGTGAATTGGCGCGAGGGCATATATTTATGTATACGACACAGTGTAGTACATATGTAGGCACACTTGTAAATAACTATATGTATGTTTATCTAGTATCGTTTCACGGGAGATCTGTACGAGATATGATGTATATGTGGCCTCTGATCCCCCGCCCAAAGTTTAACTACGAAATCCCCCACTGGACAGCAAGAAAGCTCTAGACAGAAAACACCTACCCCTCCAAAGCAAGAAGCCTAAGGAACCGGATCGCTGGGAGCCAAGATCTGAGATTGGAGGGTAGCTGTCCCCTAGGTCCGCTAGGCATCGCTAGGCGCCCTGCCCGGCTCATCGCGCGGCCCGGGCCTTGGATTTACTGAGCCGGCGCCTTGGATGAGAAACCGGAGGAACACCATCTAAGAACAAAACTGCCAAGGGCTCGTGGGCAAAAACCCTATTTGTGCATTGGTTTTCGTTGTACCACCCCCCCAAAAAAAATAAGATACAAACATGTCTCAAACACAACACTGCAAAGGGCAAAGGGGTAAAATCCCAAACCCTAAACCCTGTGCGAGATGTTCAGTTCCCTGCGGTTCAGAAGGGCTTGCGGCTTCCATGGTTCAAAGGGTCACGCTCACCCGGTCGAACGTATGACAAAAAAGGTTGTTTAGTGGGAGCACCCTTTTCGGCCTATCCCAAAGGCAAGTAGCTTATTTGAGTAGGTCAGGGGAGAAGTGGATGCTACCATTCCCATTGTTGCCCACAGCTGAAGTGCGCATGTTCTTTCATAATTCTATTTTCAACCCTAAAGTACAAAACATATGTATATATATATATATACGGAGGAGACCCCAGGGATGACAAGACCAGCTGAACTTGAACGGTGCCATCTCCTCGCACGCGTGGGATCGCTGGGAAGGCCAGGGTCGGGATTCAGGGGGGGTCTTTCTGCTACCTTTTCTGAGAAAATTGCCAACCCCCTCAACAAGGAATCCTTCACGACGAGGGGGTCGATCAATTATCCACAAAAGGTGGCAAAAAGACCCGCCCGTGGGATTGCCCATGGCAGCAGCCAAAAAAGTTGTGCTTCGGTATGGGAAAGCAACAAGCTGTTCTTGGCACCTCTTTCCACCTGCCGAGCGCAGTGAAGTTTCCTCAAAGGGCCTCAAAATAAAAACTCCGAGAGTGGCGGACACCCAGGAGAAAAAAAAGGCGTAAGGCCAACATGGTGAGTTGAGTCCCAAAAAAATCAAACGGCGAAACGTCGAAATGCTAAGCCATGATTGATTAGAGTTAGGCCCAGTTATAGAATGTATATGTTATTGTTTGCTTCACTTTGAGTCACTGGTAAACTGTAAAATGTATCCTAAGTCTACCCCAGAAGCCTTTGCTCTGGCTTCTTAAGAGGAAACAAAAAACGACGCAGCGGCCATTGTCCGAGCTGCAGAGCCGCGGGAGCTGCCTATGTCGAAACGAAACGAAACAAAACGGAAATGGTGTGCATGCGGCTAGGACAAACATTTGGGCAGCTTGTTTTCTAGCGCATCCCCCTCCAAAAAAAAGAGTGGTTGTCCTTTTCATTTAAAAGATAAACAAGGGGTACCCCCCAACGGTGAGACGTGTTTTCTTTTGGGGGTACCCCTTTGTTGTGGTTTTGAAGGGAGACCAAAAGGAAAACCGAAGCCATGTTGCCGTCCCGAAAAAAGGACACTGCTGTTTTTTGCGTTGTTCGGGGGAGGGGGGTTCAAACGAAACGGGAGAATCCTGGGAGAACAGGGCAGGACACTAAATGAAAGGGTGTCTTTTTGGAGGGACCCTTTGGGGCAGGTGACAAAGGAGAATCACAGGAACGATTTCGCCTAATTTAGGGGCCTCCCGTTTAGAGGCAACGCCACATGTTGAGAGATGAAGCCATTTGAACATGCTCAGTTTGGGCTCGATCCCATGTTTGATAAGCGCGCCAACAGGCCAGGCGTCGGCTTCAAATCCAAACAGGGGCACTTTGAAATCAGCTTTCTTGGGGTGATGCTGGGGGGGGGGGGAACATTGTTGCTCAGCTTCATTGGTGGCTCTAAAAGAACCAGGGGCAAACCCCCAATCCAAACCAATTGGGGGGTACCCTGACCTACAGTAATTTAAATGGAGAAAACAAAACGTAGCTTTGAGCCCCCCTGTTTCTTTTGGCTTCCCTTTAAAACCTCCAAACAAGTGTACCCTAAAAAAGGACAGACCCCAATGTTCACTTGAATGGGCCCGGTTGTCAGTTTCGCAGGGCTCCCAGTTTTGAGATAAGCCGTTTGGTTCTTTGAAGCAAATTCACACGTCCATTTCGGAGAAAAACCCGGAAAGGAGACAGTCCCGAGCCAAGAGAAAAACCTCTGCGAAGCCTTTCTCAAGAGAATTGATCGCCTGCGACAAGCGGCAACTTGATGATGGGAGCATCTCACAACGTATTCTCCCATGCTAAATGGAACAAAGACCAAAACCCGCGTAACCCTAGCTGTTCAATTTTGAGCCACACCCCTATGTGGGTCGTAGCACCCCTATTCTACGACACGCCCATCTCAAATGAGTGGCCGCATACATTATTTCGAGACACCCCAGCTCTGGGCTTTCTTGAAATGGGGGCCCCGAATTGCCGCCAGGCCCCTTCCCAACCGGTTTGTGACCCACCTGCAAAAAATAATTGGAATCCCGTTCATCGGAACTTCTTTTGCCGGGTGTCCAGAAATGGGCTGCCAAGGAACCCCCGGCAAGAAAAGAGCCGAGTTGGGTCTTGGTTTTGTTTGAGGGGTACCCGTTTCAGGCCGGTTTCAAGGGAGACCCCACCGGAGGGCCCCTGTTGTGAAACTTTCTGAAAATTCTGGGCTCAGGTATCTTTGAATTCCCTGGCTTCGGGGTATCTTACCCGGGCTGCAAGCTCCACTGACCCGGATCACAGAAAGATCATGGAAGACTCTTCTCCTAAGGGACCCTGTGCTAAGTCCCATGTTTGTGGACCAGAGCTCTGGTATTGTTTTGTTAGATCCTTCCTGGCTGTAGCTGTTCGAAATCGGGATTTGAACCCATCTAGATTCCGGTTGCTCCGGAATCAGCTTCCCTCAAATTGGTGGTTTCAATTGGCGGTTGGTGGCAAAGGCGGGGTCTGCCATTTACCCTCCACAAGAACCGGGGGTTCAGTCTCCCCAAATCACCCATCCAAACCCACCAACTGAGGGCTACCTGACCCTTGAGACACAAAAACAAAAAGACAGACCCTCTGGCGACCATGAAAAACTACCCCAAAAAACAGACACTCTGGCGACCATGAAAAAAAAAACACCCCACAAAACAGACCCTCTGGCGACCATGAAAAAAAACAGACCCCAAAGACGCCGATGCTTTCGACGTCTCCCCAAAAGCCCCCGGTAATCTGAGAGCCTCGGGAGGCGCCGCGGAAGCGCTTCCGGTTGGAAGGCAAGCCCCTGGCAGAGTCGCCAGTGAAGGCTCTGCCAGGTCGCCTCCCCAAAAAACATATCCCGAAAACGTACCCTCCCAGCTAACATGGGTGTGTGCACAGACCCCTGTAGAAAGACTACTTTCCTCTTGAAAAGGGCAGTTTTGCACTTCCACGTTAGTTGGTGGGAGGGTAGAACCCGTAGAGGGGGTACCCGCACAGGTCCTCCAAATGTCCTGCACAGGGGGTCCTTGAACACCAAATTCAATCATTTACCTGTGAAGTGGGACTGTCACATCCGGGCCAGTTCCCCGAAATCCTCAGCTGATATCGTACCTGTATGGGCTTTTCGGAGTCACTGAGGGCTTTTTTTCTTTTGGGTTTCTATTCTGGGAACAAACTCTCACTTTCGGAACTGTCAGTTTACCACCACAATTGTCTTCCGGAAAAGTGACTACTGAAGTCCAGAAACTCAGGAAGCGAGAACATACTGTGCACGGTTTCTATTGCATCGCTATCTGTTTTCTCGTGGCCGGTGCTTGGCGTGCGACCACTGGTCAACCTCCAAAAGTTTTGGTTCCTGTGGCCGGGCGGACTTGACGCTTCTGCTTCCTTCCGGATGACGGAACCCCAGGTAATTCGTCCTAAACCTAAGTGGGGTATTCCCAGAACCTCGCTTCCACTCATGGATTCGCCCTATAAAGCTGAACGCTAAAATGGTCCAAGCCCACATCCAAAGTCCAGCAACTCAGAGGTGCCTATCCGCACAGGCTTGGTTGACGTTGAAGGGGAGCAGGTTTTTTTGTTAAGTGGGGATTTCCCACTAAACCACAAGAAGCAAAAATGGGGAACATGTTTCCCAACAACCACCATGCAGAGCCAGCATCTCCGACGCCGGCGTTGTTTTTTTCTTCCCGCCCCGAGTCTCCCGCTTTGGCGCGGCTTTCGCGGCCCCTTGGCCTGAAGGATCTTGCTTTTGAGAGAGACCCATTTGAATGTGGCTCAAAAAAACATGTACTAACATGGCACCTTGGTAAATGGAACCAGTGACAACCTGCGTAACCCTAGCTCTTAAGATTTGAGCCACACCCACTTGAATGTGACTTGAATGATTTTGGAATGGTTGCTCTTAGGCCTTTTGTGTTAGGCAAAAGGATGGACCGGTGCAACGCAGCTTTTCATGCGAGCAAGCTGATTTCGGTGTTGGTGAGCTGTCATTCAAAGTTGGGGCCAGAATCCAAAAATTCGCAACTCTGGGAAATCCAAGGTCCGACCCCCGCACTGTGGGCTAAGCTTTGGACGGCCTTTGGTTAAGGTTGGATGGAAACTCGGATGGCTTTCAACAGATCCAAGGCGCACACGACAAAGCGCTCGTTTCCAGCGATCTCCACCTCTGTTGCCCCGCCAGCCACCCAACAACAGAAGCCAAACAGGCTTGCCACGATTTTGGGGGTCCGACTTTGCAAAGAAGCCCAACCAAGCGAACACACAACACCCCAAAGAATGTAAAACATAGAGCTTTTCCTACGACCCTCCAAACACACACCCCCCCCAAACGCACCTCCAAATATCTCCAAATATTGTACTGGTTTAGCCTTTCCCAAGCTCACATTTGCTTGAGCCCCCTGAAACCCCCCCAAAAAAAAAACAAAAAAAAAAACAAAAACACATCAGCAGTGACTACAGTATTAATAGTGATAGATTCCCCTAAAAACCAACAAGCGAAACTCACACACACGCACACACTTGCTTCAGCAAATGGAAGCAAGGGCGGGTGTTGTGTGACAAAAACTAGGTCCTCCATTAGAGAGGTTAGATATTGGGTACCCTTTTTTCTGTAGTCTATTTAATAGGGGAACCCTCCCCTAAAAGAAACACACGCTGACCCCCCGGCGCATCTGAGGCATGTTCACGCCGAGTTGCGGCTCTCCGCCTTGGGCGCGGCGCCGCGGCTTGCGGCACGGGCGCTGGCCGAAACGCTTCGCCGCTCGCCTGGCTTGACTTTGTTGTTTGACGCCTTGACTCTTGGCGGGCGGGGCAACAAAAGAAGCAAACACCCAGCAACCTCAAGGGGTCTTCCAATTTTGAGAAACTTGCTTCCTGACTTGCTTCCTGAGTGGACTGGTCCCAGAAACTCTGAACTTGCTCTTTACCACTAAAATGGCCGTCCCAAACAGCTTAAAGCCCAT